GGTTGAAAATATGTTTTGTTAGACAGTTTAAAAATAATAAAAATGTTCATCCATTAGCCACATACCCTTTAATGACATATCCAATAGCTATAAATAGAACTTGTCATGGGTTTAACATTGTCATTTGTAAAGACCCAATTATGTCCTCGGACCAGATGCTGTCCTTTTCTCCAGTCTGGTGTTGAGGTGGGGAGATGAGTTCCAATCTCCCAGTTATATTAATGTTAATCAAATTAAGTTAAATTAAACTGAAATCTCTGAAAGTTACGATCTTTTGTAAAGTTTGAGATTTGAGCAGTAAAAATTATTTCAGGGAAAGTAGCACCAAAATTACCAAAATGAGGACAAGTACTACTCCAGTTACTTGAGGGAATGAGAGAGACTCTCCAGAGAATGTTGATTCTATTTCAACAGAAACATTGGAAGCCATGGAAGCAAATTCAAGCTGTTTGCTAATGACTGCCTACATGAGTAACAAAGCTGACCCTGAACTATGTCCCACAGGGTCACAGATTTATGTATATTTTCTGTAACCTAAGATTTTTTCTTAGTGGCCTGGGAATTGGAATGAAGTGTGGATTTAGGATGAAGTGTCATACCTGGTGTGTCACCTTCTTTCATAGCAGTGGCTTCTGAATCAACTCCAGTAACCTGATAATAGGCACCGGGCTGTGTCCTATGTTTAAGATCTAGTGCCATGAAGGAAGCTTAACATATGTTATGTAGATAAAATAAGCCTAATCATATGAAAAAATCAAATAAGGAAAGTCAATATGAAAGCTAATTTTAATACCAGCAAAAGAAGGAAAGCTTTGAAAATTAATGTAATTTTCAACACAGAGATAGGAATAGTAAGTTCTGTTAAGAATTAGAAGTGAATAAACTCTATTAATCCCAGTGGGCCAGAAAGGCATTATAGAAGAGAAGGGATCTGAGCTTGGCTTTGTAAAAGAAAATGATAGAATTTAAAAGAGAGACAAAGGGGAGAGAACTCCAGATAGTAAGAAGAATGTGTGAAAAGCACTGAACAGCCAAAGACATTTGACAGTTCACAAATAAGCTTCCCTGAAGTAGAGAATTAATGGGAAATGACAATAGAAAGATAAATTGTGAATGTCTTCTTGGGTTCTCTTGCATAGCACCTTCCAAGCATTCAGATCCCATCCAGTCTTGGGTACATATTAAACCACATAACTCAGTAGCTCACTGCAAAATAGTCAGAACTGCTGCCGTTGCTGTTGCTGAACACGGAAAGACTGTTCTCATAAACCAGTAATCTTTTAGCTAGGCCTTGTCCAACCATTTGTCTCTTGGTGTTTCAGAAACAAACAAATCTTTCATGAAATTTCCAAAACAAGCCCATTCCTAATATGATTAACATGTAAAGAATTCAAGACAATAATTTTGAATAGATTTATTTTATTTACACAAACCCAGACTTCAGACTTCTAATTTTAGTGTAACTTCTCCATTCCCAAACTAGTATATTGATTAATTTTATTTACTGCCTCCTACTTTTTTATTCATGTCTAATGTTTCTCATTGTTATTTATTTATTTTTACTCTGTCCAGTGCAATCGAGTTTTCTTGTTTTGTTCATTGGTTCAGGAGTTACGTCAGTGACTGTTTTTTCTGAGATGGGCTGATTTAAAAATATGGGCCCTGATTGTTTTAGCTAATTGCTTTTAACAATTTACTGTCATGAAAAACTTTGTTACTTTTCCATTAAATGCACCCTTAACTCCAAACAAGCAAAGCATTATTTGTCATCCCTGACCATGATACAGCCAACCTTGCCCATTGAAAGGATATAAGCAAAGGAATGTAGGTTACATTAAAACCTAATAGGATCTTTGGTTGCTTAAAGTTGATGGCTCATTTGTTTGCAATGAACAAACATCCTCTCGCACTAGGTCAAAGAAAGGATAGTTTATTCTATAAATACCAATGAACTGGAAACTAAACATTAACAGAAGCTAAGGCAGCCTTGGGGACTGGCTACTACTCATTTTCTCTCTGTTATCACAGGGTATCCTCTTTTAGCTTCCTGCTGTTCTCTGTGCATATGCCCTAGGCACCCCACTAGATCAATCAGGGATTTTTGCATTTTCAAAAATTCTGATTGTTCCAGATTTCAACTTTACCTTGCCTTGACCATTCCAGCCTAGACTCCTCCTCATGGGATTTCTCTGTGCAAATGTTACCTTCTCTTTCTAGTAGTCTCAGTCCAAGAATTCCTAGACAAGAAGTTGATGGCCTCAGAATCTTTTCACACTAGTCCATGGATTTCAAATTATGGCTCATACAGTAATCTACTCATTTTTTAATTGACTGCTCGTACTTGGGTTGCGTCCAACCTTTGTCTGATGGTCTGTGACTAAGGGGGCCAGGATATTTTGGTACAAAATTTCTGTCTCTTCATGTCTCTTCAGCAGTGCCCTAGGTGGAGCTGTTTCTCTTTGAAGAGCAAGTAGACATGGAAAGCCTTAAAACCTTTTATGTAGAGATGTGCCACAGTCCCTGAGAAGTGGATCCACAAAAAGAGAGTGGAAGGACTGGATTTTGTATGTACCACGGGAAGAAGAGATTCTTACATCATGGTCAATCTTAGGAAAAATTGAAACAGGCAGTCACTGTTATACCATTTTAGGTGTTCTGGTGAGGCTTTGGATCTTGGTCATGGTTTCTTCATTCAGACACTGAATGATACCTGAGGATGCTTTGAAAAAGCTTCCTTCCGAATAACTAACTCCTCTCCAGCATTCCTAACAAGCAGTCATCTTGTTTCACCTTGGATACCACCAGTGGTAGGGAGCTTATTTAAAGAGGCCACTACCCTTCTAGGGAGCTGTTAGCCGTGAAAAAAATAGCATCTTCACTTGGATTCAGTATTTATGTTTTATTATGAAGGATATTTCATGAGTGCTCTCAGTTGCTTATGTACTACTTAAGATATAAATAACAAAAATAGATTCTGAGGGCTAAAGCACAGAGTGAAATGTATCGATGGAATATTTCTGTATGTCACACAATCCAGAGCAAGCTTGGGGAAAACAGAAATCATAGTATCCCTGGGAATATACTGAGTGGCAATTTGTAGATCTTTCCTCTAAATACTGCTGGTAACATTATTCGATTACCAATAACTCCTACCCCTGTGTTTCTGAATTTAAGGTTCTGAATTCCTAAGATGGAATCAGTTGACTAAAAATGGGTAAGTTGCCCACCTTTCAAGAGTGAGCTATGGCTACAGGATCAATTGACAGAAATATGGCATCTTGGAGTGTCCTTGAGGGAGGCGGGCAGTTCTCAGAGAAGGGCTATGCAAAACACACAGTAAGTAGCCACCACAGGCAAAAAATTAAGGACCATATTCTTTCATATATTTAAATGTCTCAGTGATCTGGTCTCAACATCTATTTTCAGCCTTATGTTTTACTACTTATTTTCCCTCTCTAGTTCTTTATTTGGGTCACACTGTGTGACGTGATAGCGACTAATGATATCATTTGCCATCACACTTTTTTGCCTCAGCTCATACTGTCCCTTCTACAGGAAAACCACATCCATAACTGTCTCATCAACACCTCATTTGAATTTTTAAATTTCTATCAGTTAGCTTAAAAATGTAATTTAAAAAGCAAATTGTGTCTTACCTCTTCTCAATCTCATTTATGCTTCCCAAAGGCAACAATTTCAGCCCTTGTGGCTGCTTCTGATATAGGACAGGGCAAATTCCCTGAATGGGGGGAAGCCCAAGCCCTGCATTGAAAGAGAGAGAGAGTTCTTGGCTGAGCACAAGAAAAATTCAAATGTATGCCAGAGTCGGAGTCAAAAGGGAAGTTTATTAAAGAAGGGATAACGCTTCATAGAAAGAGCATGATGTCCTCTCAGAGGCAGAGAGTGAGAGAGCCTGAGAGAGACTCAGAGAGACAGACAGAAACAGAGACAGCGATAGGAGTAAAGACACTGAAAGAGACCAAGAAAAAAGACACTGAGAGGGACCCTGAGTGTATAGGGAATTCAGTTCATATATCATTTTTTAGTGTCTGTGAATTACAGTTTAAAGACTTTGTTCACCCATTTTCCTTTGATGGAATTGACATAGAGTGCTGAAAGGATAAGAGTATGTAGCATGAAAAGGTAAGAATATGTAGGATGAAGTCTTGCTGGCAGTTCCCAGCCTTTGATCCATAGGTTCTCCATGGTTTTAGCCTTAAGGAATAGATGATTTATTTCATTTTGTGTAGGGCGCAACTTAAAGACTGTTTCTGTTTATCCCGTTTCTCTTTCATAGGTGTGAAAAATATGGTTTGTTCAATCCCAGTAGAAATCTTCCTTTGTTCTGCAAGTGGTCTGGCTATAAGGCGGATCAGCATATTGCAGTCTCTGAATATAGCTTGATTTCACATTTTAGTTCTCTTGCCTCCTCCTTACATTATTTCTTTTAATATTTACATCTATATTGCCAAATAAAATATTTACGCTTCTGTTTTTGCTCTTTATATTTTTCAGTTTCACACACTCTTTTGACCTCTCACTTTGAGAGCTTCCTCCTCTGTCATGTATACTTTCCCTCTCTTTTCCATGCTTCCAAGATAATTTATATGTTTATGAGTTTTGGTTTAATAATTCCTCAGTGTGTACATTATTATAACAATGTAAATATTATTTACAATGAAACCACATATTATATATTTACTTACTTGTATGATCTTTTCTTTTCCCTGGAGTAAATAATTAATTCATTCTTAGTTGCTTAATTTTCTATGTACTTATTATTAACTTGTCTGTGATTTCTCTACCATAAGTAGAAATGTCCCTGATATGCTTAAACATATTGAACGATGTATTCATTTCATCTTTTTCTTTGCAATATTTCTTTTGGAGCTTTTCTTTCTTCTAGTACAATCTGGGTAGGCTGCTTCCTGGAACTGTGGCAGCCCCGTGATCCTTGGACATCTC